TGCCATGGAGAAATATTTTAAGAAGATTTCACAGAGTTCAAATGAAACAAACAAAAAAGATGAGGAGCAAAGTCAAAAAAGAATTCGCATGGAAATTGAATCATCAAGAAATCAAGAAGTAGATTTAGAGAACCTTCCATCTGATCTTGGTTTGTGAATTCCTATTTATGAATTTTCTCATAATATTCAAGATAAAGTTCGTCGAGCTCACTTGCAAAGAGGACCATTCCAACCTCGCATTCATGAATTTTCTAAAACCAAATTTGGGGCAAAGGATAGACGATTCAATGTTGTGTGGTTTGATAAATATTCTAATTGGTTAGAATACAACATATGCAAAGATAAGGCTTACTGTTTATATTGTTACCAATTTAAAGTAGCAGGTAGAGGAAATGAGGATGATGATGCATTCAATAAGAATGGATTTTCAAATTGGAAAATATCAAATAGATTTGAACTTCATGGTGGGAGTCATAATAGTGCGCACAATATTGCACGACAAAACTATGAAGACTTGATGAATCAAAGTCAACATATTGGTTTAATGTTTAAGAAGCAAACATATTATGCCACAACTGCATATCAGACTCGTCTAAATGCATTGGTTGATTGTGTGTGTTTTCTTTTAATGCAAGGGCTAGCTTTTAGAGCCCATGACAAGTCTGACGCATCCGGAAATCAAGGAAATTTTCTTCAACTGTTATAATTTTTAGCTGAACATAGCAATGAGATAAATAATGTGGTGCTAAAAAATGCTCCAGAAAATTTAAAGTTAACTGCACCAAAAGTTCAAAAGGATATCACCAGAGCTATATCGATTGCAATCACAGACTTCTTAAAGAAAGAAATTGGAGAAAATTACTTCTCTTTTGGTTGATGAAGCACGCGATATTTCCTCAAAAGAGCAAATAGCTATTGTGGTTCGATTCGTTAACGAAAAAGGTCAGGTTGTTGAATGTTTTCTAGGCATTATTCATATTCCTGATACAACGGCTATAAGTCTCAAAAAATTCATAGAAGAATTTCTTTCAACTTATGGTTTAAGTATATCCAAATTGCGTGGTCAAGGATATGATAAAGCAAGTAATATGAGTGGGGAGTTTAATGGGTTAAAGGCATTATTTCTCACTGAGAATAAGGCAGTACATTACATTAATTGCTTCTCACACCAGCTCCAATTAGCCTTAATATATGTTGCAAAAAATCATGTTCAAATTGCTCTCTTATTCTCAGTAATTTCAAATATGATGAATATTGCTGGGGTTTCATGCAAGCGACGTGACCAACTTCGAGATAAGCAACGGGAGAGAACTTTAATAATTACATAATGGAGAACTAGTAACTGGACAAGGGTTGAATTAAGAAATAACTCTCAAGCGGTCAGGTGATAGACGATGTGGATCACACTATGAATCAATTATTAGATTGATTACAATGCTCCCCTCAGTTATTAATATTCTAGAAGTTGTTGTTGAAGATGGTATCAATTCTGAACAAAAAGGTGAGGCTTTCGCATTATTAGGGACAATGCAATCATTCGAATTTTCATTATGTTTACTATTGATGAAGGATAAACTTGGTATAACTGCTGAGTTGTCACAAGCTTTGAAAAGAAAAGAACAGAACATTGTAAATGCCATGTCTTTGGTTCGAATATGTAAAAATAGGCTACAAGTTATGAGAGATAACAAATGGGAAGAGTTCATCATCAAGCTAACTTCTTTTTGTGAGCAACACAAAATAGATATTCCTGACATGAATGATAGATGGGTTGCTCGGGGACGGCCTCGTCGTAGAGCTCAAGATATGACAAATTTACATCACTTTAGAGTTGAAATTTTCTACACAGTTATGCAAGTTCAAGAGTTAAATAATCATTTTACAGGACGAATACTTAGTTACTTTTATCTATTGCCTGTTTGAATCCATCTAGATCTTTTTGTGCATTCAGTAAAGACAGATTAATTCGAATGACACATCTTTATCCATGTGATTTTACTCCTGTTGAGTTGAAAATTCTAGACAATCAGTTGGAAACTTATATCATGGATATGCAGTCAGATCCACAGTTTTCATTGTTAAAAGATATTGGACACCTTGCTGAGACAATGATACAGAACAATAAAGATATTTTATATCCTCTTGTTTTCAAGCTATTAAAACTCACTTTAGTTTTGTTGGCTGCAACAGCAAGAGTAGAAAGAGTATTTTCTGCAATGGCTATCATTAAAACTCGACTGCGAAATAGGATTGGAGATCAGTGGATGAATGATATTTTACTCGCATATATTGAGAAGGAAATATTGGATTGTATTGAAAATGATGGAATTGTTAATCTTTTTCAAAATATGAAGAGAAGACACAATAAATTGTAAGTATTTCTCATCTTATATTTAGTATTTAATCTTTTAAAAAAAAATTAAAACTGCCTATGTTGGTCCCAAGCCCGGATGCAAAAAAGTTGAGGGAAAATTTTTTTAAAGAATTTGTGCCCCCTCTAATAAATGTTTCTGGCTCCGCCACTGTCCCTAGGGAGGGAAATCGGATCACCCACCAACTTGGAAGACAGCCTGGTTCATGGTTCTTTTTCCTCTACCTTTCTTTCGTTCCATTTCCTTTCCCCTTAAGCCACTAACATCCCCATCCAAATTTTGCCGAATTCCCTAGCCACACTCCACCTCGTCGTCGGCCAAGTTCCCCACCACAACCACCGACCCACTTACCCTCTTCCCCACCCCACCTAGCCGCCGGCCACCCAAGATGGTTTCCTTAATTGGGTGACCTATCCGACCCCTCCACCTCCACCAAGCCCTAGCCTAGCCACAAGTTTCACCCTCTTCCCCTTGCCTCCGATTTCCTAATTTCCACTTGATTTCTTTCCTTTCTTGATTCTCTTCTCTTGGAAAAGTTATTTAATTTCAATAATTTAATTCAAATTTGAAATTTGAAATATTTCCTAAAATAGAATTCTATTTTAGGAAAATTTCTAAAATCAAATCCAAATTAAATTTAAATTAGATTGGAATAACTCTACTTCTTATAATTGGGGAATTCCATTTAAGTCTTAATACACTTGCTTAACTTCCCCAAACCTCTCCATATGTCGCCGGCCCCCTCTTGGATTCCTATGGAATTATTTCCAAAAGGCAAGCTCCTCTCTTGGGTAATAATTCAAAACCTCTCTCTCTCTCTCTACCCGCCCCTCCTCTCTCTCCAACCCTTGATTTGTTTCCAAAGGAGAAACCTAATTCTAGGAAACTTTCAATCCCTTCTACCTCCAATTTTAATTTGGGGATCTAAGTAACTTGCCACCTAAGCAAGCAAATCAAACCCAAGGATATTCCTACTGCTGTTCACGAATTCCCCCCCACCCCCTACAATTTTCCTTAGTTCACTGCATCCAGAGACCGTGAAGTCTGAATTTTTCTCCTCCAAAATACTGTTCAAATTTTTGGGCAAGTCCTGTGATCTGCCCAAGGATTCCTAGCAATACAAGCTGTTGTCCATGCTATTATAATTGTTGTCCAGTTTTCCAGGATTGAGTAACTTGCTATCAAGAATTTTCTGGACATAGAGATGTGCTGTCCAAAAGTTCCTGCAGCCACCAACTGCTGCCCAACCTGGCCGGAAGGTTCCTAAGTGCTGTCTCTACATAGAATAGCCATCAAACAGCTGTCCAAATTCCAAAATTTCTTCCTTACAGCTTTATTTCAAGTTTAATCTTGACAAAGGTGGACTTTTTTTTCCTTCTCTCATTCCTTCATCGTTGATCCTTATTTGTGGTTTTAATTGAATCATATAAGTCATGAAACACTCCGTTAAAGCCTAGTAAGTGTAGGAGAGTTCAGTGAGGGAACCTCACATGCCTAATCTTATTGTTAGATTAGGAATTTATTGTTGAAACCTATTTCATATGCAACGTCAGCAGTAATTGATTGTTATGTGGCTTTTACTTTTCGCAAGTAAATTGGCCTAAGCTTGTATTTACCGCTTTTTATGTTTTATTTTATTGTTTAATTCACCATAAAGCTTAGTTAATTTGCTCTTAATCATCAAGCGTGCAAAGCCCTTATCTAAATCATAATTTCATACATGTCCTACATCACGCAATGGTAGGTTGAACCTCTCATAGGTTTAATTTCTAAAGATGGAGAAGACAACAAATTAATACTAGCTCATAGAAACATAGTGCCTTATCAAAAAATCTATCCCCGGCGATGCAAGGAATGGTGAAACTACGTAGATCCTTTAACTTTTGTGTAAGTTTCTTTAAAATAAGAGCAACACTCTCAGTCAATGTCACAATCTCAAAATCACCAAACTTTATTTTCTTACTTGAAATGTTTTTTAATAAATTTTAAATAACTGAGCATTTGTTCAAGATCTTCAACAAATGAAATATTAAAAATATTCTTCTTGAACACCTCTAAAAATATAAAAATCTATTTATCTAAGTCTCTAAGAAAAGTTAAACTAATCATAAAAAAATGTAAAAATCTTATATATATATATATGTGTGTGTGTGTGTGTGTGTGTATAAATTAAAACATATGCTAGCAATTTTTATGCTCCATTATTTCATATCACACTTATAGATAAACCAATGTGCTTCTCTCACTATTCACATCTATTCACTTGTAAAATCACCTTCATAATTCTTTTAATATTGCACCTTATTCAGATGCCTGGACTATTCCTACTTGACACATTCTAATTAATAGTAGCGTTTACTTGATCATAGAAGTCGCATAGCTATCATTTGTAACGAAATGAAATTTTATATTATGTATTAAGCAGATATAGATATCTAACAAATACATCGAAATTGTTTAAGAGAATGAGAAAGGGTTATTATCTAAATAAATCAAATGGATTGTTAGCTTTGAACATGTGCAATGATAACTAAGAATCAAATGGCATGAACAGGCTTGCTTTATGCAAGTAAAGAAAAACAATCTTAGATTATCAAACAAAACAAAGTTTTTCTATAAAATACTTACCTGTTATAATCTGATTTGCATTTGTCTCATTTTGAGTAGGATGATAGTATTTGCATCTATCACCATATTTACAGCTTCCCTATAATATTGAAAACTTCCAATCAAAATAATAAAGATAAAGATAAGAAACCATGCTAAGAATTTCCAAAGTTCGGCAGGACTAGATGAATAAAAAATTAAGTACTAATGGGTATCCAGTGATACGAAGAGAAAAGGCATCCCGACACTCCCAAAGTACTAAAGGACATCATTCTTTGATAAGCACAGGTGCAGAAAACAATGTTTGTGCGCACCCCATGCTGTAAATCCTAAAGTCGACAATCTAACAAGAAAAACTGGGGAAGAAAATTGATTTGAACAAATGAAATGAGGCTTAGAGCTCATTTTGTAATCAGTGCAAAATGAAAAATATAATTAAATCACATAAAACAAAGATTGTGAATCCCATGCTGGAAGAAGATGGAGCTTCTCTGCAAGCCACATGTCCTTATTTTAGGCAGTTGGGTTTGGTAAAAACACAATTTAAGGAATTTACATGCTTCGTAATTATTTTGTATTTGATCTATAAAAATTTTCTTTTACGAGATAATTCATTTTATTTGCAAATTCAATGCTGAGTAAATGCAGTCAAATCTAACCTATTTACTTTTAAAGGGGCTTATTCACATTTAGGCTATTTGTATAAAACTCACTATACCATGGCCTTTTCATTAAAAAGTAAGTTTTAAAACTTCATGTAGAAACTGAAGGAAACAGGGAGATACAGGAAACTAAAGATAAAGAATTAGAGAGAAGTCTTATTATCCAGCCTATCATACAATGTCCTGTACCATCCTAATATATAGACCTGTGACTGTACGGTTCAAGAACAAGTGAACAAATGGAGTGGCTACACCTCATATCCTAATACAAATATAACATAAATGTATTAAGTTAAATCGGTCGGTTCCTTCAGTTTGTGACGTAGTTTATGAAAGCGAGGTGTAGATTAAGACTCTGTAAGTATGTCAGTCACTTGATCGATCGTACTTATTGGTAAGATGGATATTTTGTTTTGTTGTATGTGATCCCGTATAAATCCTTGGTCTATCTCGATATGTTTTGTGCGAGCGTGGAAGACCGGATTATTTGCGAGAGCAATGACGGAGGTGTTGTCGCAGTATACTTTTGTTGGATGATCTTGATTGATGTCGAAATCTTGAAGGAGCCGTCAAAGCCAGATAATATCAGACGTTAATGCCGCAAGCGCCCTATATTCAGATTCCGTGGAAGAGCGGGCTACCGTATGCTGCTTCTTAACTATCCAGGAAATAATTGTGTCACCCAGGAAAGAGCAGTAGCCGGATGTGGATTTACGGGAGATAGGATCACTCACCCAGTCGGCATCTAAAAAAGAAGTGAGAAGAAGGTTAGATTTTGTAATCAGGATGCCAAAGTTTAGCGTACCTTTGATATATCGAAGAAGACATTTCAGCATGTATATGTGTTGAGGTTGGGGGTTATGCATGTGTTGAGATAATTGATTGACACTGAAGGCAATGTCACGACGAGTTATTGTTAAATATTGTAACGAGCCCGTGAGACGCCTATAAAGGTTGTTGTCTTGGAGAAGAATGTCATTGTGAAAGACCTCCGGTAATTTGGTGCAGGTGGGATTGGCTAGAGAATTGCACTATAGAAGGTCGGCTTGTTGAAGAATTTTGGAAGCATATTTCGTCTGGGTAAGGAAGTACTGATGTGAAAGTCTAGTTATTTTTACACCAAGAAATTCATTGACCTCCCCTACATGTTTCATAGAGAACTCTTTGTTGAGTTTGGCTAGAATATCACGAATAGCCTCCTTGTTGTTCCTGGATATAAGTATGTCATCAACGTATACAAGCAGGTAGATACGAGTCTGGGCTTGACGGTACACTAGTAACGATGGATCCGATTGGCTGTGGGAGAAGCCGAGTGTTACCAGAAATTCCGTGAATGCGTTGTACCACTGGCGAGGAGCCTTTTTTAATCCGTAGATAGATTTGTGAAGACGGTATACGTGATCCGGGTTAATGTTGTCTTCGAACCCTCTCGGTTGAGCCATATATACAGTCTCAGAGAGGTGGCCGTGAAGGAATGCGTTTGCCACGTCTAGTTGCTGAACATGCCAATTATTATATAAGGAGACCGCAAGCAGTATTCTAATGGTTGGTAACTTTGTGACTGGGTTGAATGTTTCTGTATAATCCAGCCCATACTCTTGATGGTTGCCTTGGGCAATAAGTCTTGCCTTATGTTTAGCTATAGAACCATCTATATGAAATTTTGTCATGTACGTCCATTTGCAACCCAAGACTGAGACGTTTGGTGGAGGAGGAACTAAGCTCCATGTTCCTTGCTGTTGGAGAGCGAGGAATTCCATAGCCATGGCTTGACGCCATTCAGAATTATGGACAGCGTCATAGTAAGTCATTGGGTCCTGATTAGGATTAGAAGGTGTTTGTTTATGCAGCAGGTTTAGTCTGATGGGAGGTTTAAGAAAGCCCGTCTTGCTACGAGTTATCATGGGGTGAGAAGGTAAGTTAGCTTTGGCCACGGGCTGAGATGTTTCAAAAGGATTAGAAGATTCAGACATAGGGAGTTGAGATGGTGAACATGAGGGGGTACGGGTAGATGGATTAGTGTGGCATAGGTTGGGAGACTTAGTTGAGGTATTAGGTTGAAATGTGGACATAGGTGTAAGAAGGAGAGGGGACAGATCATCATGAGGTGTGGATTGAGAACCGACAGCTGCTGAGAATGGGAATGCTTGCTCGTTGAAAGTGGTATGCCCGGAGACAGTGATCTTATTATTAGAAGAATCAAGGCATTTGTAGCCTTTGTAAACATCCGAGTAACCAAGAAAGATGTGAGGTGTAGCTTTTGGCTAGAGTTTGTGTCTAGAATGCGACGGTGTAAGGGGAAAGCAAGCACACCCGAAGGTCTTGAGATGACGGTTTTCAGGTTTGATTTTGTGAAAGAGTTCAAAAGGAGATAGATCATTGAGAGTCTTAGAGGGCATTCTATTTATAAGGTAAGTCATAGTCAAAACAGCATCCGACCAATATAAGTATGGAATAGACGCCGTATGGAGTGTGCGAGTTGTCTCAGTGATGTGTCGGTGTTTTCGCTCAGCTAAACCGTTTTGCTCTGGAGTGTAGGGACACGATATCTGATGAAGAATACCATGAGAGCGAAGATAAGTGGCAAAGGCATGATTAACGTATTGAGTTCCGCCGTCAGTTCTTATTGTTTTAATCTTAGTTGACATGTACTTTTCTACTTGATTTTTAAAGTTAATGAACGTATCAAGAACTTCAGATTTCTGATGTAGGGGAAATAACCAAGTAAATCTAGAAAAGTCGTCAATGAAAATGACGTAGTATTTAAAACCTTAAATTGAAATCATGGGAGCAGGTGCCCAAACGTCGGAGTGAATAAGAGCTAGAGGGGTATCTTTATGATGTTTAGAAAGTTCAAATCTAAGTTTATAACATTTAGAGGTGGCACAAGAATTACAGTTAGCTGAATATTTGCCTAGATTGAGACTGGGGTTACAACGAGAAATCAAATAAAAAACATGTTTGTGCGAGTGTCCAAGTCTTTGGTGCCAAGACTCAGTCTACGATGTGGAGACGGCGAGCGCTTGGTGTTGAGTAGTTGTACAGGCCAGCTTTACATGGACCTCTGAATATAACTCTGTGAGTCTTCATGTCCTTCAAGACGAAAACAGATGGGTCAAAAACGATAGCTATATTGTTATCTTTGGTTAGTTGGGAGATGGAAAGTAAATTGAAATGAATAGCAAAAGTGTGCAAGATCTGAAATAGATTCAGCTTACGTGACGGGGTCGAGAGGATTCCCGACCTGGTGTTGGCAATGTTTACCAAGCTACCGTCACTAATTGTGATGTTGTCCGAGCCTTGATAGGGTTTGGAGATCCACAGGTTGTCCAGTTAATTCGTAAGATGTGTGGATGCCCCGGAATCCAAAAACCAGCTGGAGTCGGTGTTTTCGAAATTTGCCAGCAAAGCTGTGGTGGTTTGTTTGGACGAAGGAGTGTACTGAATATTCAGGCGGTGCCAGCATGATTGGGTCGAGTGACCCTTTTTGAGACAAATTTGATAGATGATAGACGCATTAGCCATGGTTCTAGATGAGCCATTGTTATTATAGGAAATTATGCCGCGAGATCTACGACCTCGTCCACGGTAAGTGAATAGTGCCGTGTTGAGATCGGGACTTGGATTGGACCTGGCAGCTTCGGTAGCAAGATTGAGCTCCTCACTTAGAAGGAGAGGATATAGTTGATCAATATGAATTGGTGTAAGCATGGTTCTTATTGCAGTTTTAAAGGATTGGTATGACGGAGGGAGACATTGAGAATGTAAAGGATTATGTCCTGTGTGTCAACGACAGAGCTGGCAGCGGCTATTTTGTCGACCAGAGACTTGATTTCGGTAAGGTATTGTATCATGGTGGAGTTCTTGAGGGAGATATTGTGAAGCTCATTCTTGAGTTGAATGACCTTAGAGCGGTTTGTAGATTGGAACTGAGTTTCAAGAGTTGTCCATATGACAGAGGTAATTTCAAGACAGATAACATAGGGTAGAACAGTCGGAGAAATGGTTGAACATATCAAAGCAGAAAGATTTTGATCTATAAGTAACCATTGAGAGAAAAGAGGGTAGGGCTTAGACGAACCGTCTTGATTTGTCAAAGTTTGAGCGGGAGGCGAGCAAGTTGGATCAAGAAAGCTTTGGAATCCATTTGCCCGGATGATTTTGAGAATTTGATATTTCCATAAAGAGTAATTCTCTGGAGTAAGCTGTATGGAGACGACGTGTTTGATGTTGGAAACGAGAAATTTCAGGGTGGAGGAGATGACCGGATCGGTGTCTCCATTGGTCGACTGAGATCGGCGATCTTCGACGGTAGAGGTGGCGAAATGAGCCATCGAACAAGACCGGAGACCTATTCTGATACCATGAGGAAACTAAGGAAACAGGGAGATACAGGAAAATAAAGATAAAGAATTAGAGAGGTCTTATTATCCAGCCT